TCCAGGTGCACAGGTACTGCGGAAGACTGGCGCCCCCGACCGCAGCCGCGGCGCCAGAAGCCTGTGGGGAGCACTGTGACTGGGCGGCCGAGACCCCCAGTCATATGCACCCCCCTGGGACGAACCCATAGGCCACCCCGCCAGAGCGGGATCGTCGCAGCCGACCCACCGGAGCGGGCCTGCATGCGATCGTCGGTCGACCCGGGGAGACTGCAAGGATCCGGGACATCCAGCCTGTCGCCCGGACAACGCTAGAAGATTCCACTGAAAAAGATCAGGAAGAAGCAGGTAAGAATACCCGAAAAAAATTCTTAGCTCCTTACTCCTGACGCTAGGCAAAAAACTGGAGACTTGTCAGCAGGTGGGGGGTTTTGGCCACCGGCAGGGGCAGCCCCTAGGCTGTGATTGGTCTTTAGTTTTGTGCCTAGTGTCCTTCTCCTGCAGGTGGCGATATTACCTACAGTACAGGATCTCCGATCTGTTCCCTGTGTCCTTCAATGAACGGGAGAGAAAAAGGTTTAGCATCACTGCCTTAAGGCAAAATAGGCAAACACACATAATCGAAAATTTATACACGCACAGATACAAACGCATATAAATCACACACATAATACAAACTCATAAAACACATCACACACACTCATATCAAACCCGCACATAAAAACCACCCACACACATTAATAAAAACAAACCCATCACACACCCCTATTAAAAAAAAAAACACACACACACACACAATCACACAGATCTAAAAAAACTCACACTCAAAAACTAATTACACACACAATGAAACACCCCACACAGACTAAAACATAATTAAAAGTTAATAATAATAAAGAAAAAAAATTGCCCTCTCTCCTGCTCACCTATTTTGCTGGGAGGGTGCTGCATCTCCAGGGTCCAGTAGGGCACTCAGAGATTATATTGGTGGTCCAGTGGAGGGTCGGTGTGATCTGCATCTCTGGCTGATGCAGACCATGCCAATTGCTCCTTCCTTTCAGCAGAAGCACCATGAGGGAGCAATCAGTATGGTCTGCATCAGCAAGAGATGCAGATCATACTGATCCGCCACGGGGTAATTTTCATTTAATATAATGCCAGTTCGGCAATATATTAAATAGGATCTGGGCACCTTCCAGGTTTAAAGATGGCCACCGCCAGTGAAAAAAAGAAACCGCATAATATGACCCCAAGATCTCTTTGTGTCCTCTTTAGCACGCATGCCAGAGGTGCGCCATCGCTTGCACAAATATGCTGACCTGCCAGAAGCGATCATTATGCATGTAAAATAAAATAAAAGGGGTGGGGGGAACTGACGAAATGGAAATATTTATTTGAAGAGCTTGGCCTAAATTCTAGCAAGATTTATAACAATGTTCCACACCGAATTTACAGATCTGCAACTTTTAAAACAAACTGCCACTTTCAGTATATGTGTGGATCTGAAGAAACTTTGTAAAGATAATCTCAGCCTTTTAATTCCCTGCTCTTTGAAAGCAGTCCTCACAGGTCTAAGCAGGGAAACATTGCCTTGTTTACATTTAGCTGGTTTGCAACTGCAGACAAGGAGTTAGGAACAAGTGCAAGGCATCTGCCCAAATATTATCTTTCCTGCCATACATGTACCTATGCTGCAATTCCCTCATGCAATTATTTACACACCCCTAAATAACGCAGCCCCTCAAGTTCAGTTACAGTATACAGACACACATCACCATATTAGGACTTAAAATAAGGGAGGCATCAGGGATTCCTTGAGAAGCATGGTGCATTCTGTTTTCCACATCAGACGCTCTGGAATCCCATGTAAATGGGAAGCACATAGCTAATCTTATTCAAAAGGCTGTCTGCTTAAACAGTTTGTGATCTCCACTGATTACACAAGTGCACTGCAGCACAAGGGTCATTACTTATGGCTCTGGGCAGTGAAGACATGAAATCAAATTAGTGGAGCAGTTTCATTCACAAGCTGCATGTAAACAATTCAATGTTTACACTAGGCCTGGTCATCTATTACCTTTACTTACTTTGTCTAGGCTTTACATGAGAGTATCAGGTGGTAAAAAGTCAGCTCAGGTCTAAATGTTGCTGCCCCTCAATTACCTGACCTCACATAATGCAGATAGGATACTTATATTTCTCAGCTCAGCACACCAGAAACCAGGATAAATGTTTAGGATACATACAATGCCACCTTGGTCTTGTCAGAGAAATGGTTTTCTAGCTCTCAGAAATTTTCACAGAAATACAAAAATGTTCTAAGGGCCCATCTAGATCTTTCCAGTTTGTTGTGGTGTGGTAATATGCATTTTGTCAAGTCAGGCCACTCATTTAAAAGGGCTACCAACCAAAACAAACCAAGAAAACGCACTATTTTTTCTGGTGCAGTGCAACACAACCCATAGTAGTGCTTTACTGTGCATTGTGGTATGTTTTTATGTCATTTATTTTCAATAGATTCCAGCACACTACGGCAATACACCACAATTGACAGGTCTGACTGGACCCCAAGTATTTACATTACATTCTGCAATGCCTATGGAGGATCAGTGCAAATGGAATTATTTTCTTACCATTTCTCTGTAAGGGCTTCGAGCGGGAAAAACGACATAGTAGCAACTTTTGTTTCCATGCGCACAAAGACAGTAAAAAGAACATTCGGGCAGACATGGTTGGGTCGAAGGTTTATCACAGAGTTTTAGTAACTGTAGACACTTTCAGTTCTATACACTTCAAGGAACACAGTTGATTATGTCAACATTTGTATGCCTAACTGCAGATTTGGAAAAACGTTTGGAGTTCTTCCCAATAATCTGACAAAACCCTTTGTGACTTAAGCCTTGTACTTTTAAACATGCTACTGACAGCTGCAGCAGCAGGGTGCACAATAAGAGAGAAAAAGCTCTTACCATGGCTATCCAAGGATTCCAGAAAGTAAAGGCCAACATAAGGTGAGCAGCAAGGGTGGACACCACAGCACACATGACCCAAATTATGTTCTTCCCAATCCGGTCAACCACAAATCCAAAAAAAGGCGACAGTGGTGCTGAGATTATGTAGACTACACTGTTAACAGCAGAGAAGCATTGATTATGGATATTGCAATAACCTACTGCTAATATTTTCAATTCAAAACATTAACATACCTGTTTATTGCACCTGCTTGCAAGGGTGAGAACTGAAATTTCTCAATGAAGAAAACTCTAGTTGTGAAGGAAACAAATTAAAAGTCAGTGAAAAAGGACACCACCACTCATATTTGCATGCCTAAACACATCAGCCCCATCCAAAATGCCGGGTGCTTGCTGACAAACGCCACGGCGGTTACCAGTAACCCAATGTATGTAAAGCTGCACTCAACAGCCAGGAACTCAATGTCAAAAGGTTTATTCCCAGGAATCTACAATGTGCAAGCATGACAAGATCCACAGGCTCCGACATGTTTCGCCAAAATAGGCTTAATCATAGAGCTAGAGATTTTCATAAATTGGTTTACTAATTAAAAGTCAAATTCTACAAATATGTAGCGTATGCGTGGATAGATTGGATAGATTGGATAAGTACCGGAACAAGGATAAGGATGAAAGCCTTGGAGCTTTTAACTATAAAAACCAGAGTCAGAAATAGCAGTTGTCACACTTTTGTCTACCATGAAAGGTTCCCTTTAAAACGCTGTGGGAAAAATTCCAAACTATTAACGAGATTAAACCAAATCATCTATTTTTGGTCAGGTCATGTGCTAGCTGGCCAGGCCTGTTCTGAGGAAGCGTTGAACACTTTGTACCAATTAAACCGAGTAGAGGGATAAATCATATTAAATATCAGAATGCCAAAACCAGTATGTAATTCATAGAACATGACTAGTACATGTGCACTTACTTGCCAAGACCAATGAAGGGAAACACAGCAACATAGTAACAAACACATACTAAAAATATCAGCCAGAGACTGAGGGAAAAGTCCTTGACGTCAGTCAGTTTGATGACTTCACCTAGAATAAAAAGACAAAAAGAGACAAATGCAGGTTGATCATGAGAGAACTACTGAATGCAGGCAGCAGAACTGTTATCATGGTGGTCTCTGACAAACAGCTCAACTCCGTACTTTAAGAATCACTAAAAACCCTATACAAAGTAATCCTCTGCACTGTTTGACTTGCAAATTACTTTACAAAGTGAAACATAATTACAGAAACTTCACCTACTTTTCATTGTATAGACTACAAATGTACATACCAGTTTTTCCTTGTTCTTTATCGAGTATTTTTTCTGCTCTCTTATCCAGATATCCAAGTACAAGGGCACAGACCAATGAGAACACGCATGTTATTCCACCTGAAATAGAGGAAGGAAAGACAGGAATGAAACACAGCAATAAGAACAACACTGTTGGCAACGGTCTTTTTGCTGCTTAAAATAAATCCCACAGGGTGCTTACAGGGTAAAGGTGCCCATATACCTGCCGATTATCGTACGATAATCGCAGGTGATCCCGCGATCGTACGATAATAGGCAGGTGTATAGGCAACGTGCGACCTCGTCTACTGTAAGGTTGTTTTGCTTGCTCATCTACTGTAAGGTCACACGACATTTGTCTTCCGAGCACACTTGAAAACAGTTAGTGGCGTGCTCGGGAGACGAATGCCGCACGGAGTCGTGCAATGGTTGTAAGGTGTATGGCCAGCTTAACAATCAATAGATATGACTAAGGCCGAGGAGGGCAGAAACACGCCAGCGGTTATTTTGTGTGCAGATGCATGTGTAATGGAGTTTGGTTCTCTTTCAACGAGCATCGTGTGCCGGTTTTGCAGTTTTTGAGACAATTACTCCAGGAGAGTTTTATCCATGCACCACATGTGGATTACAAAGACGCATGAAAGGGGTGAGATGTGTGTTTTGTGTTTTTAGATTTCAATAAAACATTGTATTGTCCCCTGCCAAAGTCTCCGCTTGTTACAGTGTCACCGAATGAAACTATGTAACACTTTGGTTTATATAGTATATATTAGGGATGCAATGATACTGATACTAGTATTGGTGACAATACCGAGTATTTGGGCGAGTACTCATACTCACCCAAATGCTCCGAGACTTACCCACGATACCGGAGCTTCTGGTCAGAGTGAGATGTGCTCTGACCTGCAGTGCCGCAAGTGAACATGGAAGCGGCTTTCCAGCCAATTAGCACTGAGCCGGCTTCCCGGCCAATCAGAAAGCCGGGCAGCGGGTAATCTGGTGCAGAAAAATGCCAGTCACCACAAATAGTGTAGTGTACAGAGCCCTTAACCCTTTCACTGCCAAGGACGTACGTCGTACGGAGCTACAAAAGTGCTTCCAGCTGGCCAGCTCAGTACGTCGTACGGACCTGGCATTTACAGTTCTACTATAAGCTGATGGTCGCTTTAGCGACCATCAGCTTATAGTAGAACTGTTCAGCAGACTGTCCCCTTTAAATTAATAGCTGTCATCAGCGGCTCACAAGCCGCTGATGA